TGAAAAGCGCTGTAATATGTCTTTGATATTACACATTTGGGCAATTCCACGTTAATGTTACGTTAGTCTGTACTTAACTACGTATTTCACTAAAAAATGCAACATTTTAACTCGGTTTTTGGTAGATGTTTACGTGACTAACATAAGGCTACTGTGGAAGTGCCCATTTAGGTTACAATGACATTCGTTTATAACGACACTATTTTTAGGTCCTTTTGATGACGTTATAACCAAGTTCTACTGTGTGTGTGTGTATATATATATATATATAGAACACTTGTGGATTTGTGGTTTTATATATATATATAAAACCACACATGACTAGACTGGCTCTTTTGGAAGTGACAAGTCAACTCTCAACATAAACCACATTTTCCAAGTTGGCAATCCAACTTTCCTCACAACAGTACCTCTGGTTCATGTCACTGCAAGATGCATGTTGTCAGTTAAAACTTGATATTTACAGTCTGAACTGGACATATGTGAATCTCTCAAATTTTTGAGACTGAAACAAGAACAAATTTGAATTCAAACACCGATTTTTCGGTCTCAAACTGCTTCAGACAACAGATTCTTAAATATAATGATTTATAACAATCTTTCAACGCAAACAAATCAAATATCAAATTGTAAAATATCAAGCAGTACACTTCAGTGCATTGCAGGAAAGGTGCATGTTGTAAGTTAAAACTTGATATTTACAGTCTGAACTGGACATATGTGAATCTCTCAAATTTTTGAGACTGAAACAAGAACAAATCTGAATTCAAACACCGATTTTTCAGTCTCAAAACTGCTTCAGACAGCAGATTCTTAAATATGATTTATAAAAATCTTTCAATGCAAACAGATCAAATATCAAATTGGGACAAGCAGTACACTTTAGTGCATTGCGGGAAAAGTGGACAGTGTTTATTAACCTTTATGAGTCGAAAGACACCATATGGGGACCTTTAAAGTAAAGCAGAGTGGCTGAATGACACCGTATGGTGACTCGCAGTCCACGCGTGCGCACAGTGTTTTAAAATCTAATTTTAAGATAGAAATTCTTGTTCTACTTACATTATTTTTGGACACCAGCTTTATAAGTAGACTGTCTTCCCTCCTGCATCATCTAACTGAATGCAGAGTCTGACATCGCAATTCATGCACTTTGTCCGTACATAACTCTGTTTTCCATGCGAAGCGCACACACGACACCTCGGTCTCATATTAGCAGGAAGTAGGCCAATGATGGCGGTTGGTCTCCTCTATTCGTAACGCTTATAAAACATCGCAATTTCAACTATGCACCATGGCCCCATTTTGCATGGAAGAAGCCGAAATTGAGGCCGATCATAAATCACACCATTCAGATTGCAGTACAGACGATTTTGAAGGGTTGAGGAAAGAAGGGGGAGTTGCTTCTGAGAACAGTACCTCTGTGTGGCTAGGCCGAGATATAAACAGGCAGAGTTTCTGAAGAACAAAGTACGATAAGAATTCGTCAACACTGGTGCATACAGGAAGGATCCGAAGTGACTGGAGAATGTGCAGTACAAACAAACTTCCTCCCCTTTCGCCAGATAAGACATAGTAAGAGAGAACGTCAGCAGCATGCATTTATACTGCAGAAACGTTTTGTGCAGAAGCTTTATGCATTTTTGTGGACAGACGCTCAAAACTAGGGAAAAATTATTTTGGAATCATTGTAACAATTTTTACAGATTCTAAAATCTGTAAATTACAATATCTGATTCTATATTCTTTCTAGATAAAAGTAGCGTTTATTTCGTTCATTTATCACAAAAATTGTAGAAATCACAGCATTTTCAGTAACACGATTACAATTTTTATTACTCTACAATGGCGGGCATTTAAATTAACTCCGGCCCGTGGCCATTACTGGAATTTAAATGGCCTGTCCCTTAAAGGTTAACTGTCATCAAAATGCAAGGGACTGATCTAACAGGGAACAATTTTTGTTTTCATCGAGTCCTTAAATGTTGATGTATTTTAGTGCCCTGTTCCACTGATTCACGTCCATGATGTGTAGGTACTGACACACCTGAGGATGGCAGAGTGATGCCGAAACATGCAGTGAAGTGACAAGTGAGATTGTGTGCACTAGAATACGGTCAATACATACATATCATGGACGTCCTTAAATGGTTCCAAATTCCTGTTTCAAACTGAAAAGTCATTCTTGAACATGTCTAATTTTAACTAGAGGAAAAAAGCTGTTGAAATTCAACTGGAAGTAACTGTTTTCATTTATCCTTTCCTTTGTTCTTTTCACACCCTGAACTTTTCCTCCTCCTTTCTCCCATGTTTCTTTCCTGTCCCACTTGTCCACTGCTATCAGCATTCATCTCCGGTTGCGTTACATCTTCATCCTCCAGATGGCACAGTTTTGAATACAGAGCTGCCAACTGTGACAACTTTGTGCCATACCCCCACCACTTCAAATTTTATTCTGAGGTCTGCTTATCTTCATCATACAGAAGCAAACATAAATGAAACTGGACATATCTCCTTCATAAAAAGTATAGAGAAGTTTAAAAAAAGCAAGTCAGGATTACCTTACAAACATTGCTTGAAGTGGAGGTGGGGTCATTTTTGACCATGCTAGGAACAGCAGACACTGCTACCCCTCCAGTGTAATTATTTGTACCACCCTGCATCGGTGGACCGGGGCTGCAAAATAACCACATCAGCATGTACAGCACTTCCTCTTCAATACTGTCACACATATGAGTGACTATAGAGAGTATTTGCATTGGTAACTGGATTTGCTGAACATTTATACAGAACTCATGACTAAAATTACAGTGCTGTAACAGATCTAAGTCTTCTCAGTCTGCTGTCTCTCCACCATTTGTTGCCTAGTAGTAGCTGCCAACAGCAGACGTTCCCCCTTCCTCTGGGTTCCTGCACTGTCCCCATGCCTAAGCTACCAGCTTCTAATAATAGCTCACAATGATACAAACTGCCATATAACACCATTCTTATATGTTACTGCATTTGATTTAGTGACTGGTCTCCCCCCACCACACACAAACACACACAGGGGGGGGGGGCCCACAGTATACAAAACTGAAAACCATTTAGGAAATACACACAGGAAGAAATGCATAATGCATTAATTTTAAATGACCATAACAAGGATAAAACTTAAATTCTGATAGAATCTTTCACATCTTATCTGCAATGAAGTATTAGAATAAAATGCAGAAATTTAACGAATGATAACACAACTGTCAATAGCCCCTACAGCCAAACTGTTGTTATATGCATATGAAACGTAGATTAAGCGGTGCTTCAGCAATAATCTTGGAAGTGTTGTATTTACAAGACTCATGCCTAATGTATGATGCCTAAAATGCACAATCCTGGATTCAGAGTAACTGTTGCAGAGGCATCCCCTCGTTCACAAGTCACATTTCTGCAACAAGTACGTGCACAACACTCGGAGATGCTGTTTCTACCTGGTCGACTATAAACTGATGCGAAGCAATATACAAGTTCCAAAGCCAGAGCCACCGAGGATAGGACACATTAGGGACAGTCCCATTTATTAGAGCCAAAAACCCAACGTGTATGTGAAAACAGAAATCAGTAAGGAAATAGCCAAGGGTGATGTAACAGCCTGCAAAATGATTGTAAATACTTGTAAACCATGTAATTATTTGTTAAGATTAACCCTTCAGCGCGGGCATTTAAATATCGCTGTTGTGGGGCCTCCTGCAGTAGTATTTTTTAGTTGTCCTTTTAAATTTTGCTCTAAATTATATTATGTATCATAACTTTTGAACTATATCAGATATAATTATGAATTTTTCACTGAAATAATCTTAAAAGATGGTTTTATAATCTTACCTTATAATATGAGTGCCCTGTATCTGAGCGGTGGAAGCAAGTAGATTAGAAGTTGAGTTTCATATGGTATTTCTTGAAACATCCATCTAAACACAACCCTGCCTCACATTCACTGCATCAGTAAATAGATTCTTTCCTTTTACCATGTTTTGCGCACACCACACATCTTTTTTGAGGCTTTGCCTTTTTCTTTTGGCTGGAATACGCTCCAGGAAATGTCGTTCTGTGAGTCTTTTACGCGTCGGCTCAACTGACGGACGGCTGTATACAGGACGAAGAACACCAGAACCGTGTTTTTCCATGAGGCCTTGTGCTAGTGAAAGTCTGAACTTTAGTGTGTTCATGCTTTTGTTATTCGGGAGACACTGACATATGACCNCTGCTACATTGAGTAGCCTCTTGAATAACTTCTGATACCACTTAGTACTCTTCTTTCGTTCAATCAAGTACGGCTGTAGCATTTGATCCTTCAGATCCACTCCTAGCATGTTTCTGTTGTAATCGCAAACAACCACGGGCTTTCTTGTTTGTTTGCTTTATTCACAACCACACGCATATCATCTTTGTGGTACGATGATATCATAGTCACCTGGCCACTGTAACTGTGAGGTCACGCGTTCTATTCAGACTGACTGGCAGAGCTGCTGGATCTTCAGTGTTATGGTTACACGATCAGACAGTGCATTCTTTTCACAAGTCACTCGGCCACTGTAACTGTGAGGTCACGTGTTCTCTTTAGACTGACTGGCAGAGCTGCAGGATCTTGAATCTTATGGTTACACAAACAGAGAGCGCATTCTTTTCACAACAGCCCAGTGCATTTGTCATCATGCTGGTGTGTTTCGTTCCATATTTATGGGCCTTCGAAATTAGGCTTACAGCTTGGTGTACGGTGTACGGCAAACCACAGGCAGGACCATTTAAATACCAGTGTACCATGTACAGCAAACCACACTGAAGGGTTAATCAGTATAAATTGAATAATCAACCTGAACCATGTGTCTGGTCATTAACAAGTGACAACAGATACAAGTAGAGTAAAAAAATAAGGCGCTAGCAACTGTTAAATGTTACTAAAAGATTTCCTTCAGAACAAAGATCGTAACATGGTTCAAAAGCCTGTTAATTATACTCTTAGGCTGTTACATCATGTGGATATGAGTGATGCTGACTGACGTTTCTGGAGGCACATTCTGCCTCCATCTTCAGGATCAAAGTGTTTATGATGGGCAAATTTCTTTCTGCATACAGGATCCTATTTCAAAGAACAATGGAGGAGGGGTGGGACAGCATGGACTGGTGGTGCAAATTGGTTTTTTGGTGCACTCTTTTTGAAACAAGATACTATATGTAAACAGCAACCCACCACTGAAGGTGGATGCAGCTAGGACCTCTGAAACTTCAGCAACACTGCCCACACACAGCATAAAAACTGAAGAATGGAATTAACATTAATAATCAACCACTATGATGGACTAAAATCAGAAATGGCAAAACTGTCCTTGTTCTTGAAAGCCCCAGATCATAGGGCATGAGAGAATGGAGGTATATACTCTACACATTCTTAATGCCCCAGTCCTACACCTCCACCCTCATGGAATTGGATAGCAGGCTGTATGGGTCCCATGACATATCTGAACACTGGAGAAGAGACATCTGACCCTGCTGAGAATCAAACCCCATTCTATAGCTGCCCAGTCCACAGCCTAATCACAACAACAACTCGGCCAGCGCATTCTTACAAATATGACACAGCAGTAATGATTATACTGGTACTGAGGGCCTAAACAAATGCACACTGTCAGTTTACTCTCACCTGTACACTACTTCTCCAGGGTTAAGAGGTGATCCATCATCACCGGAAACAACCCCTGGTCCGTCAACAGACTTGGCGAAAGATGACGGATCAAGACCGGCATCAACAGGGTTACCAAACGTTGGTGTGAAGGATGATGCAGTTGAAGCCACGCTTCCATCCTCGTTATGTTCAATAACTGTGGGCATCGCAGGCATGCTTTCCCACACCTTACACAACAGATAATACAAAAATGAATTACAGTCAACTGTAGACATGTTGCAAGTTCATTCTAAAGGGTTCTGACAATGGTGTATAACACTCAGAATTACTGGTTTTTCAGTATTTGCCCATTATCCAATATTTTAAAAACTGGAGAACAAAACGTTTTAGAAACTGGATCTTGTTTCCGTCCTCAGGTGAAGGGCAGACACCTACTCTGTTGGGTCCATTAGAAAGAGCTGAGGTTAGCTCATTCTAACAGACCCAACTTTTCACCTGTGGACAGAAACAGATCCAGTTTTCAAAATCTTTTGTTCACCAGTTTTTAAAATTCTGAATGTCTCAAGTTTAACCACACAGACCAACTAGATCTGAACAGAGGGCCTCTTGATTATTGAAGCAGAAGTGCTACTCACTGATAGCAACATTCTATCTCAGTTATTTAACTCAGCAGCAAAATGATAGCTTCTATAATGAAAGTGCCATTTTTCTGGGATGTGACGCCATGTTGTCTGATATAAGTTCACCGATGTTCTTCCAAAATACAGAACCTCTACCGGACTACATGGCATCAGGTCCCAGAAGGTAGTACTCCTGATATTCATCTATGTGAGAACCTCAAATATAACATTTTCTCTTATATCTGCTGCACGTGGCCATGACAATGGAACATAACAGCTCCTTCATAAAGTGTCATACTGTGGCAGGCCCACAGATACAAGACTATGCTATGTCAATCTACATTTCTTTCATAAATATTTACACACACATTTCACTGAACACAGAAGGCAGGGAACTGAGAACAAAAAATTCATGCAAATACCTTCTTTACAGATGCAATCTTAAAATTGAGATCAGCAGCAGGTGATGATATGGTGGACTGTACACCAGGGGTCATATGCATCGAGCGGGGAAGTCCCATTGTCTTGTTAGTCTTGTCGTCTGTTAACTGGGTCAGTTCAGAGTCGAATGTGAAGTCCAACTTCATATCCACGCCATCTTCATTCTACAAATGAAAAGAAAACCATGTTCATCCTGAACTAGAAAAACACATTATTTTTAAATGATACCAGAAGCTAGACAAGCTCCTTCTCTGCCCAGGATATAACTGCTCTCCACAACATCGTCACAAGACATGGCAACTAGAAGTTTCAAGAAACAACAACCCTCAAATTAATAAATTAAAAGATGATCACATGCCTGAAAACTGCAGCACTGACGCATCACTGCAACAGCCCTGGCTATCATATGGATTTACAATGGTAAAAAATAAATTTCATAATATCTCTATGTGTTTTCTACAAGGTTCACGGCAGGAAAGCTTCAGTTACAATATAGTGGGTGGCCACGCCATAGCTCAAGCGGTTAGTTGCTGGCTTCCCCCGTGGTGGCACGGATTTGATCCCAGGTCTGGTCAAGTAGGATTTGTGGTGGACAAAGTTGCACTGGGGTGGGTTTTCTCCGAGGACTTCAGTTTCCCCTGCCAATCTTTATTCCACCAAATTCTCCATCTTCATAATCACCTGGGGCATGCTACAATAGGCCAAACAGTGGCCGCCGTGCTGAGTGGACCCAGCTGGACTCCACTAAAAAAATACAGCTGCCAGATCCATATATCAGGGGGATATCTGAACATCCTAATACCCTAACAGTAAACTGTTACCCACCTTGAGTACAAAAATGACTCCCTTGTAATAGTGGGAGATTTAAAATCCCCATTCCCAGACAATAGGGTAATCTTGGCATTTTGACAAGTTAATAATAATCTTTCTTCTGCTGGATAGGCATTAGAAGCTTTAAATTAACCCTTTGACGTGGTCATTTAAATTCCGCGGCCGCGGCTCCTGCGGTAATATATTCAGCCGGCCATTTAAATTTTGCTCGAAAATTATTTATTCATCATTGTTCTTAAATTCTATGAGATAGGAACATGAAACTTTCACTAAAATGATCTTAAATGGTGGTTTTATAACCTTACCTTATAATATGGGCGCCCTGTATCTCGGCCATGGAAGCAGGTTGTTTAGTATTTCAGCAGTGAATGGTACGCCTTGAAGGATGAAACTTTCACTAAAATGATCTTAAATGGTGGTTTTATAACCTTACCTTATAATATG